AACCTCTTATATGTCAGCCAGCTAGATATTATTTGAAAAGTTTAAAAAGTTGACAAGCAGGAATCGCAAAGTAAATGTCAGAGTAAATCAAATGGTTCAGTCTGCAACTGCCTATCTAGCTAGGTTTCTGTAAGGTTGAGTCCTGTGACCACTGTGGCCATTTCTTTATTGTGTACAATACATATATATATATATATATATATATATATATATATAGACGTCACATGTTTTAGTTAGCAGTAACTTGTTTTTCGAAAAGGAGGATGAGGATAGTCTTCAAGCCATGGTAAAGCTATGTATTATGCAACCGTAGATTTTGTTCAGGTGAAAAGTGAGGTGTATCGCTGAGCAAAAACATAATGTTTGCCCATTAGCTGGTTTCTGTGAAACTTCCACTGTTAGTTACGTTTGAGTAGCAAAATGTAAAAAAATTTTTTTTAAAAGACCTACGAGTTTCTTCTCAGTTTAAAACCTTTGGAGTCAATAAAAGTTTAGAAAGAAGGAAGACTGGAGTAATGGCTGCTGAAAATTCAGCTTTGCCATCACAGAAATAAAAATAAAATAAAATAGAAAATGGTTAATATTTAATATTTCACAGTATTACTGTTTTTTTTTTTGTTTGTTTGTTTTTTATTAAATAATAGCAGTCTTGGTTAGCATAAGAGGCTTCTTTCAAAAACATTAAAAAAATCGAACAGACTCCAAACGCTTGAACGGTAGTGTATATTGATATCTTATTTACTATAGTGGAATGAAAACCAAGAAGCATTTTTTTTTTCTGATGATTTGAATTATATAAATATATACGCTAGGGTTTGAGGTGAGAAGCTTTAAAATATTCGTAACTTTTACGCTCATAAAAAAAAAACGTTGCAGCCTTTCTTAATGTTGGCTGCAATTTTGTAATATTGAGGATCCATTTATACAAATAATACAGAGAGTGTGACCCTGATTAAAGCTCTTCTTAATAGTGTCTTCCTCTCAGACACAAACCTATTAGTTTTGTGTATTGGGGACTATGAGGTGTTTCCAACAACATGGTATTTAGCATATTTTTGTAATAAGTAACAGTAGTATTCTTTAATAGATCTCAGAGTTCACATTTTATGATTTTTCTCATTTCTGTTTTACATTATTAAACCAATGGGCATGTAACACTGTTAATGTAACACTGTTAATATTACACGGGCACACAGAGGGTGAAGCATATATCTTGCATACTAAATATAATAGGGCTGGTTTATGTATGACACATTTAGGGCTTCATTTATGTTTTATTGTAAGACTATTGTAATCTTGAGTTGAATTATTATTTTTTTCCCCCAAATATGTGTTAACATGAATATGGCTTTAAAAACAAAATAGACATATAGCATGTTAAGGGGAGTGGGTATGAATTAGAAATTGTAGATGTAATTTTTCTGCAAGAGACTTGATGGAACATGTTTATTTGTGGTTGTCTATCTAAACTTATTTTAATTATAAATACTTGTGTGTACTCATATCAGTTAATACTCATATTGTATAAGAGTAAGGGTAAATGGATGTTTGTGAGTTTGTATTGGACATTTTTATGCCAATTAAATTTTTAAAAAAGTTTTTAATTAATATGGAATATTTTATGGAGGATAAAGAGTATTAAATTCCCGGACAAAAATGAGAATGTTATTTTTTTCTTGCAAATGCATGTTGTGTCAAAGTACACAGCGTGTCGAATATTATTAAGTATCAGGTCAGAAAATGTCAATGATTTGTGGAAACATAAGCTGTTCAAACTCTGGCAATGTCTGCGATTATCTATGCGTATACAGAGATTTTTGTATTATTGGTATTGGGAGTTATTTTTGCATTACTCTGAGAAGAGGAGTTTTCATAAACTTAAATTATGAGTTTCCCATCAGTCATATCTTGCGCTGGTCTGTGCCAGAGGCATTATGGGGCAGGTTTGTACAGATGAGATACCAGTGTAATTATTTGGTTGCTCTGTTGTTTTCATCTTGACCCTGTTCGAGAGAGAGAGCGGGCGAGAGAGAGTCTTGCTATGGTTATAGACGTAGATTCTGTTACTATATATGTGTGTGTGTGTATAAAATATATATATATATATGTATGCTGTCGGGAAAATAATAAAGCTGTTATATTCGACTACTGCTGTTTGTGTTGTATATGTACGCAAGTTTGTAATAGTAATTAAAATCTTAATTTGCTCACCTTTCATGTCGTTCTAAACCTGTATGATTTTTTTTTCTTCTGTGGAACTTAAAGATTTATTTTACAGAATGTCCAGAGCTGCTTTTCATGACAATAAAGAGGGATTGTAGGGCTACCAGAATGACAAAAAAAAAAAACATAATAGTTAATCATATGATTTATGTGCTATGTTTCAAGTCTTCAGAAGTTGCTTTAAGACTGGTATTTAAAACCTTACACACTGAAAATCTTGACATCTGACTTCGCTCTACTTAGCAAGTTCATGAGAGAAGACTAATCCGGCTTCTCAAGTGACTCAGATCAGCTTGTTAGGAGGGAACTCCATGAACTGAACTGAGTGTGTCGTATAAAAGAGACATACAAAGCAGTGAGTCCCCAGCAGCGGAGTTGAGTACCACTGATATAGACCACATTAATGACAAGGTACCATTTCTAATGTTTATATCAATATCTAATATTTTTATTTTTATTTAGTTTATTTTTATTTAATTTAACATTATTTTTGGTAACGCTTTATAATAGGTTTAATTTCTTTATGTTAGTTAATGCGTTAACTAACATTAGCAATAATCAGTACATTTGTTATGGTACGTTTTTTTACATTTACATTTGTTCATACATGCTAGTTAATAAAAATACAACTGTTCATTGTTAGCTTAGATCCATTGAGTAATATTAACAGATACATCTTTGATTTTAATCATGCATTAATAAATATTGAAATTAACTGGAAAAGAGCAACCAGAGGTGAAAAGTGAGGTGTATCGCTGAGCAAAAACATAATGTTTGCCCATTAGCTGGTTTCTGTGAAACTTCCACTGTTAGTTACGTTTGAGTAGCAAAATGTAAAAAAATTTTTTTTAAAAGACCTACGAGTCTGTCAAATGCCGCAGTTCCTATTTGCTCCAAGAGCAAGTAGTTTTGATATTGAGGAGACTAATAGTTTTTATATACTGGCGTACAATAGCAAAGTACAGTAACTGTGCCAACAATGGAACTAAATCTAGAAGACAAATTTTGACCAAAAAAAAATGCAGTTTTCTTATTTACTATAGTGGAATGAAAACCAAGAAGCATTTTTTTTTTCTGATGATTTGAATTATATAAATATATACGCTAGGGTTTGAGGTGAGAAGCTTTAAAATATTCGTAACTTTTACGCTCATAAAAAAAAAACGTTGCAGCCTTTCTTAATGTTGGCTGCAATTTTGTAATATTGAGGATCCATTTATACAAATAATACAGAGAGTGTGACCCTGATTAAAGCTCTTCTTAATAGTGTCTTCCTCTCAGACACAAACCTATTAGTTTTGTGTATTGGGGACTATGAGGTGTTTCCAACAACATGGTATTTAGCATATTTTTGTAATAAGTAACAGTAGTATTCTTTAATAGATCTCAGAGTTCACATTTTATGATTTTTCTCATTTCTGTTTTACATTATTAAACCAATGGGCATGTAACACTGTTAATGTAACACTGTTAATATTACACGGGCACACAGAGGGTGAAGCATATATCTTGCATACTAAATATAATAGGGCTGGTTTATGTATGACACATTTAGGGCTTCATTTATGTTTTATTGTAAGACTATTGTAATCTTGAGTTGAATTATTATTTTTTTCCCCCAAATATGTGTTAACATGAATATGGCTTTAAAAACAAAATAGACATATAGCATGTTAAGGGGAGTGGGTATGAATTAGAAATTGTAGATGTAATTTTTCTGCAAGAGACTTGATGGAACATGTTTATTTGTGGTTGTCTATCTAAACTTATTTTAATTATAAATACTTGTGTGTACTCATATCAGTTAATACTCATATTGTATAAGAGTAAGGGTAAATGGATGTTTGTGAGTTTGTATTGGACATTTTTATGCCAATTAAATTTTTAAAAAAGTTTTTAATTAATATGGAATATTTTATGGAGGATAAAGAGTATTAAATTCCCGGACAAAAATGAGAATGTTATTTTTTTCTTGCAAATGCATGTTGTGTCAAAGTACACAGCGTGTCGAATATTATTAAGTATCAGGTCAGAAAATGTCAATGATTTGTGGAAACATAAGCTGTTCAAACTCTGGCAATGTCTGCGATTATCTATGCGTATACAGAGATTTTTGTATTATTGGTATTGGGAGTTATTTTTGCATTACTCTGAGAAGAGGAGTTTTCATAAACTTAAATTATGAGTTTCCCATCAGTCATATCTTGCGCTGGTCTGTGCCAGAGGCATTATGGGGCAGGTTTGTACAGATGAGATACCAGTGTAATTATTTGGTTGCTCTGTTGTTTTCATCTTGACCCTGTTCGAGAGAGAGAGAGGGCGAGAGAGAGTCTTGCTATGGTTATAGACGTAGATTCTGTTACTATATATGTGTGTGTGTGTATAAAATATATATATATATATGTATGCTGTCGGGAAAATAATAAAGCTGTTATATTCGACTACTGCTGTTTGTGTTGTATATGTACGCAAGTTTGTAATAGTAATTAAAATCTTAATTTGCTCACCTTTCATGTCGTTCTAAACCTGTATGATTTTTTTTTCTTCTGTGGAACTTAAAGATTTATTTTACAGAATGTCCAGAGCTGCTTTTCATGACAATAAAGAGGGATTGTAGGGCTACCAGAATGACAAAAAAAAAAAACATAATAGTTAATCATATGATTTATGTGCTATGTTTCAAGTCTTCAGAAGTTGCTTTAAGACTGGTATTTAAAACATTACACACTGAAAATCTTGACATCTGACTTCGCTCTACTTAGCAAGTTCATGAGAGAAGACTAATCCGGCTTCTCAAGTGACTCAGATCAGCTTGTTAGGAGGGAACTCCATGAACTGAACTGAGTGTGTCGTATAAAAGAGACATACAAAGCAGTGAGTCCCCAGCAGCGGAGTTGAGTACCACTGATATAGACCACATTAATGACAAGGTACCATTTCTAATGTTTATATCAATATCTAATATTTTTATTTTTATTTAGTTTATTTTTATTTAATTTAACATTATTTTTGGTAACGCTTTATAATAGGTTTAATTTCTTTATGTTAGTTAATGCGTTAACTAACATTAGCAATAATCAGTACATTTGTTATGGTACGTTTTTTTACATTTACATTTGTTCATACATGCTAGTTAATAAAAATACAACTGTTCATTGTTAGCTTAGATCCATTGAGTAATATTAACAGATACATCTTTGATTTTAATCATGCATTAATAAATATTGAAATTAACTGGAAAAGAGCAACCAGTACATTCTTCAAAATTCCTCCTTTGCGTTCAATAAAATTATACCAATTTGTAAAGACATGAGGGAGAGTAAATTATAACAAAATATTCATTTTAGGCTACACTTAAAAAAAAAAAAAAGGGCTCTAAAATGGGGTTTTGTAGTGATGCTGTAAAAGAACCATTTTGGGTTCCCCAAAGAAAAGAACAGTTTTGTGTTTGTGTGAACATTTTAATAATCTAAAGAATATTTTTTTCCATTACTTAGAAACTTTTGTGCAATGGAAAGATTCGATGAATGTTAAAGATTCCTCATGGAACTAGGTGTCAGGAAAGAACATTTCTTTTTAAGAGTGAAAACTATCCCTTGACAAATTCCACCGGTCATAGATAAGAATCACTTTTACTGTAGGCAATATCAGCCTTCTATTGAAAGACGCGTGTGTATAAACGCATGTGTTTTACCAGCCCTGCCAAACACACATACACTTTGAAGTGATGCCAGCGCTGTCAAGCTGAGCTTCTTATTTTCCTTCAAGCATGATCAGCTGGAAGTTAAACAGACTGCTGTATGAAATGCCATTTGCCCTGAGGGCCACAAGTTAACGCCTCTCAGCTTCTCACGCACATCCTTCTCTGCTCTGCATTCCCCAGCTCTGTGTCGCATCACACACTGCCTATTACATAGCTAAATGAAATTCCAGCACTGGAAATAAAGACAGGTGTGATCCACCAAAAGACTTGCACTTGTAAAGGGATTCCAGAAAGAAATTGCTAGTGAATGGTGTGCTTGAAACTAAATGAAGAACGAGGCTAGGATTTGAGATATTAAAAAACAATCCATCATGCTCTTCTTGCTCTGAAAATATTTAACACACACTCGTGTATTTTGGGGGAAAAGACATATTATTCAAACATAATGTGAATATATTCCTCCACTAGCATGTTACGGCTTGTACAATACTTTTTTTTTTCATCGTCAGTGTTAAAAAGCAATAGACAGTTTAAATAGCCAACAAAAATAAGAATGTTTGCAATTATGTGCAATGAGTGCACTGTTTGCTTTCTCTCATTTTTGTATGGTTATGCACCAGACAGACTATGGCTTAGCAATACGATTGCTTTAAACAAGTAGGGGAGGATGGGTATCAAGACACCCCAATTACGAACATTAAATAATGTATTTAGTTATAAGTTCATAGCGTACAGGATGACTTTGGGCCATCTTGTGATTCCCGGGGCCAGTAAACTTGTCTCAGCTATCATCATATTTTTAATACACATGAATGATTTTTTTAAGCAATTAATGTAAAATATAGTTTTTAAAATATATTTTATTATTTCATAATATTATTCATTATTTAATTGTGCATTTGATCAATTTAGTTCACTCAAATTGAGGAACTGAAAAATCACTAAATCAAGAGTTTTAAAACAAGAATGGAATTTCACAATATTAAAAATGACTAGATTTACATTGAATTCTGCTGAATTAAAGACTTCTCGTTTGGAGTCCTAGTTGATTCCTGGTTAGCTTTTTTCAGGTCATTAGATTAGCGATTTATCACCCTGTAATATGGAGGGGAAAGACAGAAATGTATATGCGTTATATTTAAACACTGTATTTACTGTTTACTGTAGAAAAAAATAGTGTAGAAATAATTTACACTTAAAAATTGCTAGTAAATAGTAATAGTATTTTCTTGTAAAACGTACTCGAAATAATCTTTTTTTATTTACAACTCATTTATTCCTTTGATGCCATCGTGAGGCCACATCACACATTACAGCCAGCCACATTACTAACGTGCTACAAGTTTGATGGGGAAATCCTAATTATAATATCCATCACTGATCAATAGCTTCTTAAAAGAGTAGCAATTCTGTTTGCTTTGTCGATATTCTGGTTAAAGACGAAAGTCAGCTGAATATAGAAAATGTAAAAATTATAATAACTAAAAATTAAAAACTATACTATAATAATAAATATATACATTAATAAATCAATAACACTAAATAAAGAAGAAAAGCTTGACTGGGGAATTTATCAAGGTTACATTCAAACATGTTATGAAGCTTTCTTACAAAAGCATTTCATATCAAATGGATGCTCAAATAGAAGCAATGTAACAATAAAATAAAAGAGAAGTCTGTTTCACAGCTAAAATGTATTGTGTCTTGAAAAAACATATTTTCGATAGATTTCTAATAGTTATTGTGGAATTTCATCAATCTATATCAACTATTTGCCTTTAAATGCCTTGGGAAAATTACTGAATTTTTTCATTTTCAGAGATTTTTATTTTCATTTAATGTTCTTTTTCTCTGAACAATTATCAACATGTGTAATGTGTGTTTAAGCAAGCACAATAAATATTCATCACAGTATTCATAAAATATTTAAGAATCATTTATTGACATTTCAATCAACCAAAAATAAAAATTACTGCACAATATAATTTGTATTTATTAATCAAGTGTTGGTAGATTCTGAAACACATTACAATCTGCAGAAATAAATGCATTCAGATTTGCTACACTTGTCTGTTTTCAGAGGCACCATATACTACTGTAGTAATGGGCACCTGTTCAAATACGTTGAAATCATTCAAATTCTTCAGAATTTTAAAGTCCTGTAGCAAATGACAGTGATTGTTTTCCGCAAACCTGCATTAAAAACAATCTCATACTGATTACATACACTGATTATAAATTTTACAAAAACAATCACATATTTTAAAGCACTATGTTAATGAGAATAAAATGAATGGGCAAAATAAAAATTCTACATATTGTCATAATGCACAAAAGCATTCGTTTCATATTTTGGGTCATGCAATAAATTGTAACCCAACATGCTTTTCAATGTATTAGACATGCATTCCATACCTGAGCCAAAAAAATCTGTCATCAATATGCTATAAACCTTCATGTATAATATATTTTAAAGCAATTTAATTATAACTGCAAAAGCTGTTTCTCCTGTATTCTAAACATAATTACATGAGATATTTCACAAATAAAGGAGAAATATAAGGAAATACATGAAAATATAAATCCAAAAAAAAGACAGACAACAAAAAGGTGACATTTTACATTGCACTGAATTTGCATTATTACAATAGTAAGAATTTCGACCATGTCGCTACATTGTTACAAATTCTCATTATGTTGAAGCATGATTTTTCATGATAAATAAAGAATGGAGCAAGCCTGTACAGAATATCTTTCAATAAATGTAGCACAGATTTCGTTCACAAAAAACAAACCAGTAGGGTTAAAGAAATGTAATGTCCCATGTGAAATTCAGTCAAATCTTGACGGGCAGCTTTTCATTATGTATATCACTGTAAATTGAAATACCAAGCTAGGTCATTAGAATGTATTCAAGGCTATCATCACAGTGCTTCAGATATTATGCTCTCAGTTTCATGAAACCATGCGGCTTTCGCTTTCGGAAAAACACAACCATTTTAATACATGAGCTCTTGTTTTTTTTTTGTACTAACTATTTAGAGCATAAAACATGCTGTCAGAGCCTGGTATAAGTGAAATGCTGGTAAGAGACGGTTTAGGCACTGGAATCCTCTTTTAAGCGCTGACTGCGAGCCTTGTAGACTTCAATCAGGAGGTCTTTCACATACTGAATCTCTCTCTCTACAGATTCTGCTTTGTCCCGAAGTTCTCTGTTCCGCCCTTCCAAACCATGAAGCTCCTCCTCCAAACAGTCCAGCTCCACCCTCTTACGCTGACGGTACCTATTGTTTTTTAGGCAACATTTGTGGAATAAAATAACATGGCTCAGCTTTTCTGCTCGTTTGATGCAAACACGCTTACTTTTTTAATAACTCATGCAATATTCTAACACTTTCATTGGACTAACTGAGCACTTTGTCACCAAAAACAGATTTAAAAGGAAAAAAAGTAGGTACAGTACCTGTGGGCAGCGGACTTGTTCTGATCCCTCTTCTTCTGCTTGCGTTCTCCATGGTTTCTCTCCAAGGAACCTACTTTAACATCTGGTTTAAAAACACACTGACTTTCCCGTGACCTTTGTAGTGGTTTCTGGACAGGCAACTCCAAAGAGGACCCAACACTGTCTCCGGACAGACATTCAAAGCTTTGATCTCCAAGGCAATCGTGGTGCAAGTAGTCATTATTCTGGATATCAACAGCCCCAGTTCTAATTGGCTGATCGATTTCATTCATGAAGCCTTGATATGGCTCTAAATTGGCAGTAATCTGATGAAAGTAGCACTCGGCTACTTCGGATTGTTTATACGGTGGACAGCTCTCGCTCTCGGTGCACTGCAAAATGGGCATCGCAATCCCGTCGTGGCTGAGCATCTTCATCCCATGGCTCTGGCCCTCTCGCCTGTGGTGGGATTCCAGGGACCCACCGAGATCGTAACTTCTCATCATCTCCGCTCGGTAAAACACATCTTCCGTGAAGCAACTTTTTTCTTCTTCCTTCAACAGTATGGCACATTCTCGAACCTTCTTTGTGCTCGCGTGGCTCTTTCCGTAGGATTTGTCAACAGAGCACTGGTCAAAAGCCAACTCTGCGTAACCTGAATGAGTCCCTTTGAAAGTCCACATTTCCTTCTCAAACACCTCGACGTCTTTACATCTATTCGCTGATATTCTTTGGCTATTGCAGTGTGTCCGAATGTAGCTGTAGGGGCCGGGTCGAGACATTTTCGGTCGGCTCATGGAGCCCCCACAAAAGCCTCGCAGGTCGAGATCTCCAGTTGCCAGGGAAACCAGCCTGGGATTTGTTTCAGGTTGGTTTACATTGTACGAAGCGCAGGGCAACTGATAGTATGACTGTGTAGCCATAGCTTGTAAGCTTTTGTCACATTTTTGCCATTTCTCCAATTTCATAGGTGTCGATTCATACAGGTAATAATCCTCCAGTTGAGCCAGTTCTTCTTTAAGAAGAGTGGTCATAACCTCCAAGTCGGAGGGCATTTGGACATCATGCTCCAGAGGTGAAGGTGGGATAGAGGAACCAGGAGAGGATTCCGTGGAAGTTGAGTTTGGGTAAGCGTCAAAAGTTTTTGTCATCCAATCTGTAGAGAAAAACCATCCAATTAATTCAATAAAAGCATTATATGAACATACAGATGAAATATTTTCAACATGCATGGTTGCGCAAAAGTATCATTGGTCTATGAATATCTATATAATTTTCTATTGAACAATATATGCAAGTAGCAATAAAAAAATAATACAAAAAGATGAAACGATGTGGATCACCAAAATATTTGCTTTACTTACTGTACGCCATTAACACATATGCTGCAGTGCGGTTCCCACCAACAATCGGACAAAATAAAAGTGTCGTACTGCTTACCAATTTAGTCCTACGTCTGTGCAGACTCCTCCCTCCACCTATGATTGGCCTTCGTTAGCCAGTAGGAAAGAGGGAGCTCTTAAGCCTGCTGTGCAAATGAGGGGAGTCTTCCTGGGAATAATCTATGCCGCCACAATTTGCTGTATTTCGGTTGAAATGGTGAACTGCGTACAATGCATGAGAATCGAAGAAATGCCTCATACAGGAAAGAGATGCGAAAAACTGAAACCTATAGGACAATTAAAAAAAAAGTTAAATGCAATTGTTAATTCCGCTTTCCAGGTGTCAAAATTTTTTTCCTTTTATAAAAACATTTCCTTTTATGGAATTGCACTTTTTTCCTACTACAAACTCAGGTTCATAGACTATCATGAAAATTATTAATAACATAAATCAATTATTTTAACCAAAATTGACTGAATTGATAGGATAGAGTGCAATATGTTCTAATAATTTAAATAAAAAATAAATCTAAACATTTAAATCTGAATTTGACCTTTTGCTAGAGCTCAGTTGTCATTCTGTTATATGATACCTCTAGTCAAGTTCAGTGCCAAATGTGAAACAGAGGTTAAAGAAAAGCCTTAAAATATTTACTACAAAATATTTTTACAGTTCAAAATTCAAAAGCAGGTTTATACTGTAATTAAATGTAATAAAAAAACACACACAAAAAGAGTATTACGTTTTATAAACCCACTCAAAGGCATCTGAAAATAGAGCATTACACTAAATTATTCAAAAAGAAGCTTGTTAACTGTACAGAAAATATGTAGAAACTCAGTTAAGCTATTTTAAGTGCAATTTCAAACAAAGTTATAACAAAACGTAGAGATTAAACCCCATCTCTATACATTTCTGCAGGGTTTTCTTGTAGTTCAGAAACTCTGAAAACTAGTTAAACTGAGATACACACTGTTACAGGAAGTTGCAGCTCATATAAAAGTCTGAATGGAAGTTGACACTTACTCCATCGTGCTGAGGTGGTCCGGTCTGAAGTGCTTCTGTGAGCGCAGTAAATCGCAATGGAGGAGCTCACGTTTTCAATTTAGTAGAACATTGTCTCACTCTTCTTCATTTGATGTCGAGACTGATCGGTTACACGATAAATCGTTCAAAAGTTTTGGAGAACAGAGGAGTATCACGTCAAACCAAACAGTAACCGCATCACATGAGCTCGTATCCATCCGCCGCCGCGCCCCTCAGCGCAGAGTCCAAACTAACGGCACAAGTTCAATCCGAACTTCAGCCTCGAGTCCAAATATCAGTCAGCAAAACTCTTTGATGTCCCGCTTGATCTCGATTAAAGTTCACTGCATTCGCGTTTTAGAAATGTATTTCCTTTTGAAATGTAATCGATAAGTAAATTCTAATGATTATTAAAGTGGGTCCAGATTGCCAAAACCAGACTGGGTGTATATCGAGGCACAAATCTAAGTACAGAGACCCTTATAAAGCACTATTTAACCACATGCGACGAGGGAGGACACTATATTACACTATGGAGATGTAACTCTTGTTGCAGCCCTGTTGCATCAGACCTGCTGGAATGTTGCCCGAGTTTGAAACTTTGTTGCCACATTTGTCCTGATCCGTTTATGCATTGGACATGTATAATGAGGTTTCATCTTTAAGACCATTGTTTGCAAAAGAGAGAAAAAAAGACTAAACATTTGCTGTAAAAACACTCATTAGCTTGTTCTGATTTGCACCACACGTCCACCTCTGTATAAGGGAGACCGGGGCTAGTTGTCACACTGAGAAGTTGTCACAAAGACTGTTTCTCAGGAACAACAGGGTTTCCAGTCAAAAGTCCAATTACACAAATGTATGTGTTGCTCTAGCTGTGATTTTGTATGCTGGTTTCAAACATTCCGTTCAAAGATGTCTTACATTTTGTTTGTGGGAGTGAACTCTGCCCTCCAAACTAAAATTAGACTATCATCATATTTATTCTGTAGCTGCTGGATATCTAGCACACATTCAGGCATGTGTCATGTAGACATAGAATGAAGGGACATTTAACTGAAGGGCTGAACTGTGTTTTCTGGACAAGGATGTCAGTTTGGGGCAAGTTGTCACATTTATTTTTAAGGGGTCATAGGATGCCCATTTTCCACAAGTTGATATGATTCTTTAGGGTCTTAATGAAAAGTCTGTAACATAGTTTGTTTAAAATTTCTCAATGGTAGTGTAAAAAACACCTTTTTTTACCCTGCCAAAAACAGCTCTTTTCAGATCAAGCCGTTTTTGTAGCATTTTCCTTTAAATGTTAATGAGCTATGCTGACCCCGCCCCTCTCTTCC